GCTGGGCGTGGTGGCACACGCCTGTTGTCCCAGCTACTCAGGAGGCTAAGGCACGAGAATAGCTTGAACCCCCGGGGAGGCAGAGGTTGCAGTAAACCGAGATCATGCCACTGCACTCCAGCCTGGTGACAGAGCAAGACTCCATCTCAAAAAAAAAAAAAAAAAAAAAAGCCAAAAAGTAATAAATGTTGGTGAGGCTGTGAAGAAAAGGGAACACTTATACACTGTTGGTGATAATGTAAATCAGTTCAGCCACTGTGAAAAGCATTTTGGAGATTTCTCAAAGAACCTAAAACAAAATTATCATTCAATCCAGCAATACTATTACTGGCTATATACCCAAAGAAAAATAAATCATTCTACCAAAAAGACACGTACACTTTTCTATTCATTACTACACTATTCACAATTGCAAAGACATGAAATCAACCTAGGTACCCTCCAAAGGTGGACTGGATAAAGAAAATGTGGTACACCTCATATACACCATGGAATACTATGCAGCCATAAACAAGAACAAAATCATGTTCTTTCCAGCAACTTGGATGCAGCTGGAGTCCATTATCCTAAGCAAATTAACACCTGAACAGAAAGCCAAATACCAGATGGCCTCTCTTATAAGTGGGAACTAAACATTAGGTACACATGGGCATAAAGATGGGAACAGTAGACAACGGGGACTACTAGAAAAGAGGAAGAGCAGGGAATACAAGGACTGAAAAACTGCCTATTGGGTACTATGCTTACTACCTGGGTGATGGGATCATTCATACCCCAAACTTGAGCATCATGCCATATATGCATGTACCCCATGAATCTAAAATAAAGTTGAAATTACAATAAAAATTTTCTAAAATTTTTTAAAAGATATTCTCATAGAAATAATAATGATAGCCAGTAACAAAGACTTCTCTTTCTTATATTTTTTGTCTGTACAAACGTGTAGACCAATGGCCCTATTTGAGGAAGCATTCTAAAACTAAATACAGAAGTGAACTATACATTATTTTTTGAGAAGGGGAATAATTAAGTTGTGTGCATGTTATTGGTATCACATCTAAATGGTAATAAAAGGTATAGTGTATGGAAGGATAAAATTCAGAGAAGGAGGAAGAGAGAATAAGTCAGTGACCTTTTAGTAACAATGTGAAAATATAGTTTAGACACTCGGAAATATTTCTCTGACATTAAGGGCTTTATCATACATAGAATTGTAACACTGCAGTCTTTCCCAGAGGTCTTCCAAAATAGTTTATAACTTAATCTGTCTGGTCATGGTAATTTTATTTATAATGGAAAACAATGTAAATGACTAATAAGAGGTAAATGGATAAATTGTGGTATATGACTCTGGAATATTTAGGTAGCCATTAGTAATTAAAATATGATAGCTAAGTAGCAGTATATTAAATTCTTATGGTAGGATACTCAGTGAAAAAAGAATTTACAACTTGTTCTATAGTATGATTACTACTCTTTAAAAATTAAATATGAATATGAATTAAGATTGAATGAGAATCCAGAACAATAAACATGATTAATAGGGTTACACGGTATCATTGTGGGGAAAAAAAAGTTTTCCAGTTATTTGTGTGTAACAAGTGAAAGCATATATTGTTAAAGGTGTTCGTCTCTTTCAAAGTGTAACTGTGGACAAGAAGTTACAGACAGACTGACAAGCTCGGAAAGCCCCCTTCAGTCTCAAGACTCCTAAATTCCTGAGCTGCAAGGAGGCAGTGCCCAGAGAGTGCAGCATTCCTAAGCATCACTAGTTTCCATTAAAACCTAATTTACGGAATTAAAAATTAATTTCATGGAAATGAATTTGAGCAGTCTTTTCATTAAAGCGCACTTGGTCTAAATGAGTTTGGAGTGACTGTAATAGCCATTCCTGCACTGTTATTTCTAAAGGTGAAATCTGATGTGAGTATTGTTGTTCTCACGCTGCCGAGAAACAACATATTGCTGAGAGTTTTCAAATTTCCGTGTGATAGTTGCTCTTGCTCCCCGAAGATCCTCTCAAGGAAGTTATTGATGACAAGGAGTCCGATAGAATGGGAATCCCTCAGTGAAAGTCAACCAAGGCCTCCGTTTAGTGAGTAGAGCAGACAAAAGCCTCTCGTTGTGGGACTAAAATGGGAAGAGGCAATGGCCAAAGTCAGATGCCTTCTTTCCCAAGTGCAAGAGGCACTCTTGCTTCCATAGTAAAAGAAGGTTGTGAAATGGGTGTATCTGATGGCTACATAAATGTATAGCTCTCCAGGTGGAGAGCTATACATTTACTTCAACATTTTAAACATTCTGTTAATGAATACGCACGCGTGCGCGCACACACACACGCACACAGAGCTATGGGAATACGCTGCACAAATCTCTGACTTCAGGGAAAATAATTGACCAAGGCCCCCAGCTGCTGCACTCTGAAATCTGTCACTGTGCCAACAAGGCCACACTCCCCCCAGTGACTGAGAGCAGCAGGGGAACTCAGGCAGGCCCATTTCTGGGAGACACAGGGCTCCTCAGATTTAATCCCCAATAGTTTTACCAAACCATCCTTAGGTTACAGGGGAATCAAGGATGAATTCGCCCAACTTTGTTCACTGTTCTTTACTTGGGGTCAGACTTACATCACAGTTTCTTGTACTTTTCTCTCATAAAATATTGCACATTTAATCCCAACTTGGCAATGGCTTCCGAGAGGATATATATGTGTGTGTGCATATATATGTACATACGTGACAGTACGACACACACATATATACACACATACACACATATATTTATATGTATACAAACATGCATGTGCATAAGTATATGTATATGTACCTTTGAATTATAATTTATCTCCATTTGATGGGCATTAGTTAGGTCCAAATTTTTGCCATTATAAAAACACCCATCTATCCCATTTTTCTAATAATTTCACTATTTCTTTAAGGAGTTTTTTTTAAGTTCGCCACAGTGACTGTGACTGTTCCTTGTTGGAATACCTCCAAAGAACTCCCAGAGCCAATGCCACACTTAACACTCGTTTTCCACATGTATAGATTTTCTGGTGTGGCTAGAATTTCTCTGGAAAACGAGCTTCAGGCCTTCTCGTGTCAGTGTGCAGAGTAAAGAGGTGAGAAACTAGCCTTTCACAGGTTCCTCTGCAAGGCAGCACAGTAAGCAGGGGAAGCGTTTTCTGCCACGTCTGTGGTCTCTTCATTCTTCTCTTCCTGCCGTCACTGTTGACCTGGACCCTGCTGTTCTTCTCTCATCTGGTATCCATTAGAGTTCTTGATGACAAGCAACAGAAATTGATTCTGCTTCACTTCAACCAGAGAGAAGTTGTCAGGAAGATATCGGGGGCCCACAATCAATGGGTGGTTGGAGGATCAGTCTTGAAAGCTCCGGGGCTGGGCTGCAGGAACACAGTGAGGATCTTTTACTAGGAGAGCCTAGTGAGTGAACCTCCAGGGTAGATGGGCTCCAGGGGATCCTGTTCCTTGCTTCACTTTCCCAAGATTCAAATCCTGGGAGAGAGACACCCACAGAGGCACCCCTAAGGCAGAGGGAGATTCTAGTGCCTGTGGCAGACAGGCACCTAGAACTGCACTTCCACCAACACAGAACCTGACGGATTGGAGGTAATTCCCCCAAATACACTGGGGAGATTTGGGAAGAGGAAAAACAAATGTTGGGCTATAATATAATAGTGATATCCAGCAGCACCCTTTTATATATGTGCATAATCCTTGGGTTTGCACATGTTCAGGGACTGGCCACAACTGTTGCATGATAAATTAGTCTTTGTCCAAGTGAAAGCAAGTTTCCTGATTGAGACAAAGCCTAGGCATTGCCGGGAGCCCGCTTGAACTAACTCAGCTCCTAAGTTGCATTTCCATCCAAGAGCCTGGGGTTCTTTCTCACTATCCAAAACTGAAATGTTGTCAGTGCCAGGACAGCAACACCGTCTGTCAGTTGCTTGTCAGAGGTTCCTCTCTTACCTTCTAGGACTTTGCTGTGGGATCTGTTGGCTCTCCAGGCAGGCTTCATTGTTTGTCTGTTTGTTCTTGTCTTGGGGAAGTTTTCTTTTTCAGCAGATTCTCAAATGTGATAGTATTGTCAACAAATTAAAGGCTGGGAAGCCCTCCAGAAAAATTATCCGTGCTGTTTTCACTCTCTCCCTTCCTGAATCCACATCAATCCTCTCTCGTTAATAGAAATCTTCCATTGTTTTACTTCACTTAATGACCCCTACCACATTATTTTCTTTAAGAATACTTTTCTCAGCCAGGTGCAGTGGTTCATGCCTGTAATCCCAGCCCTTTGGGAGGCCAAGGTGAGTGGATCACCTGAGGTTGGGAATTCGAGACCACCCTGACCAACATGGAGAAGCCCCATCTCTACTAAAAATACCAAATTAGCCAGGTGTGGTGGCGCATGCTTGTAATCCCAGCTATTTGGGAGCCTGAGGCAGGAGAATCGCTTGAACCCGGGAGGCCGAGGTTGTAGTGAGCCAAGATCACGCCATTGCCCTCTGGCCTGGGCAACAACAGCGAAACTCTGTCTCAAAAAAAAAAAGAAAGAAAGAAAAGATTACTTTTCTCTAATTCTTACTTTAGGGAAATTCACTTTGAGCCATCACCAAAGCCTGTCTGTTCAGTGCAACCATAAGTAAATGCTCTCGTAAAATAATCGTAATGGGTCAGGCGCAGTGGCTCATGCCTGTAATCCCAGCTCTTTTGAAGGCCGAGGCAGGCAGATCGCTTGAGCTCAGGAGTTCGAGACCAGCCTGGGAACTATAGTGAGGCTCCCCATTTCTACAAAAATAATAATAATAATAATAATAATAATAATAATGGTAAGGTGATCATGTATATGAGATGAACTTGCTTTTGCTGAAGAAGAAAAAAATACACCTGATATACAAATGAAATTTGGATTCATGGAGACAAATTCCAGAAGAGGGAGTGTTCAGATTATATTCAGGTAATATGTCAGCATTGTCATTCCAGGTAAAGATGGCTTTACAGCAGGAAGGATTTGACCGAAAAAAGCGAGGTTACAGAGACATCAATGAGATCGACATCAACATGAACGATCCTCTTTTTACAAAGCAATGGTATCTGGTGAGTGTCTTTATGTCCTTTTGGACATTTCTCATCTTGAGACTCTGGATAAAAGATGTATTCTTGTATCCTCATTATTCACTAGGATGTTAGCCAGTATCCAACTCAGTGACCCTCTCTGTCCCCTTCCATATGTATTGATTTTCTGTCACGACCTGTGCATCTAGTTCTCTAATCTGCTTTCTTCTGGAACTGCTGAGTAGCCCTGGTCTCCTAGGGTCCAGGCTATGACCAACAACTGATGGAATTCTCTTTGATTCTGAAAAAGTGCACCAGTGTATAACTGAAGACTTGCAAAACTATATAAAAGTCAAATCAGAGGTCTGGGAAGAGTAATGCAGGGGTCTCAACAGACAGAGTAACAGGGGACATAATGAAGTCACAGGCCTGAAAGAAAGGATCCAATGACTTCCCAAGGGGCTAGCAAGATAGCTTGGAGACTGAAGTAGCAAAAAGAGCATCTATTAATGCTCCCTAAAACAATGGCAGGAAATCAATTCCATGGGGCTTAACTGATGAAGGCTTGGAGGCACTAAAACCCATTTTGTCTGGTGAAGTGAGCATTTTGTGGGTCACCAACAGTTCATCATGATCCATTTGGACTGGCCGAGCTATGTTTAAAAAGGGATCAGTGACTCCAAACCAAGCTGAACTGCAGGGCATATTGACAGAAAGGGAGTGACTAATTTGTAAATGTGAATGAAACTTTATTTTATTTAAGATTAAAAAGTGATGAACATGAGAGAGAACTAAATTACAGCCTTGCAGACGGCTACATTACAGGAATTCATCACAATTTCCCTCCTGGGGCTGCAGAGCTTGACTCTGCCTTATGCTTTTTGGCATAGAAGTCCGAAAATTCAATATGGGTAATTGAATGAGTGTATTTGTGTTAGTCAGGATAGGCTAGGTTTGTTGCAATAATGAGCAACCCTCAGATCACGGTAGCTTATCAAAAGCAAGGCTTGTTTCTCACTTTTGCTACACAGCCCATGCTTCATAATTGCTCAGAAACGCAGGCTGACCAACCTCCATCTGAGCTCCATTCCCACACTGCTTTCATGAGCCCCTCAGCAAGGAAAAGGGGTAATAGAATTTTTAAAAGAACCTCTTAAAGTTTCTGCCTGGATGTGAAAAATGGCACATGAGATCACATGCCATTGGCCAAAATCAGTCATCCGCCATTCTAACTTCAGAGTAGGTGGAGAGGTGTAGTCTTAACGTGTCTCTAGAAGAAAGAGCACGGTAAATTTTTTAAAGAGCCCTAATGACAATCACACAATGTTTTAGCAATATCACAATAGCCACTGATCACTGTGGGCTTTTGCCAATACAAGTTCTGACTTTATTATTCTTTTTACAATCCATCCTGGAGAAAACCTACACAGTACAAAGACGCATGAAAAGATGGGAATGAACATGTTAACGTGGAATTGCTCTTTGTTTTCCTTTCTTTCTCTTCTGAAATATTTTTGGGGGCCAGGATGAGGAGCTTTGGGATTTATTTTTCAGCATTAGCACATGCACTAAAGGTGAGCCAGTTTTCTTTAATTCAGTTCAACAAATACTTTTGAACAAGACTTAGTGTGGTGGCACTGAAATTACAAAGATTAACTAGGACATGTTACCTCCTGCAAAAGATATTGTTATTTAGTAAGAAGTTATATTCAAATAAGAATAATCAAAAATATGCTGTAAATTCAAAACATGAGGTATAAACAAAGAGGTATGAAAGTGAGCATTTAATTCTAAATCAGGGAGGGTTTCCTGTAATAGCAGCTCTTTTATAGAAAAAGTTTAAAGATAGTGATCTAGTTATAAGATATGAGGGGATTGAAACTATGTTTGCAAATTTACAGAAAACAGAAAACGCTAAGTGTTTATACCCAAAAAAAAAAAAAAAAAAGGAGAGGAAACGCTATAGGTAGGTTAGGAGGGACACCCAAAAGCACTGTTTCATGGAAGTGGCCTTTGAGCTTGTCTGGATATTAGATGGCTATAGAGCATGTCAAGTAAATATGTATATGGGTGCTTTACAACACCAAACTGATACCATTCTTTGCTTTGAAATTCCTGTACCAGATCAATACTGGCCAAGCCGATGGCACTCCTGGCCTTGATTTGAATGTGGCTGAAGCCTGGGAGCTGGGATACACAGGGAAGGGTGTTACCATTGGAATTATGGATGATGGTGAGTATTTTGAAGCCTGTGCATCATTTGGAAATAAGCGTGCCTTTGCTTGCCTTTCGATAAAAGTGGTACTGTTTTGGAGATGCTAACCAGAGATGGAATAGCAAGATACTGGGCCTATGACCACACTGCAGTGTGACCAAATCTTCACCTTTCTTCCAGTCAGTGGTCCTCAAACTTGAGGTTGCACTTAACAAATATTTTTTGAATAAATAAATAATAAACTAAACAAGTGAACACATGAAAGCTGCCTGTCACTCAACCGTAATTTCTTACTGCTTACACTTTACCTTAAAATGTCCTCTAAATCTCTTCATATTTACCATCAATTTATCTAGACCCACACTATCCAATGTAGTCACCACTAGCCATATGTGCCTATTTAATTTTACATTTTAATTAATTAAAGCTACATAAAATGTAAAACTTTATTTCAATTCCTCAATCACACTAGCCTCAAGTTCTTCATACCCACATGGGGCTAGCAGCTGCTGAAATTCAATTCCATTTTCATCATCAGAGAAAGTTACATTAGTGCGACTCTACATCCATAAAACAGCTTTTCAGTAACAGGATTGGAGCTTGGGGAAATTTGACTTTATTGCTGCTTTCAGAATGAACCCTTGTAAAGTAGCCTTTGATAACCTTTTATTACAGACACCCCTTACATGTTATTCATCCTGCGAGCCTACCAAAGACTTAGCAGGGCTTCATTTTCTATAGTTTGTGATATGAAAACCAATGGGCTTGATGAATTGGCATTTTTCCAACTACACACGTCCTTGGCCCTGTGGAGAATCGCTGCCTGTAGTCATTTCACTGGAGACGTCTTATTGCCCTCCATCACCCATCTGGGTCTGCCAGCAAAAAGCTCCACTGTGCATTATTGATCCAATTATATACAAAGGCTACACAGAGATGAAACAACGGAGCCTTTCCCATCTGAAGATCCTCAAAGAACAGAACACTATGTTCCTTAAAGTAAAGCTTTGAAGCAGAAACGACAGAGGAAACCAAGAGGAGCCAGCCTGCTTAAAACCTGTGTTGTCTTGTGTTGGCTCATTAAATATCAACATAAAAACAATGCCTCAATGTTTTCTGATGTATGAGACATTTTTAAGTGGATGTAACACCTTCCTCCAGAGGCCAAGGGCTCTCACAAGAAGAAAGGAGCCCTGCATGAGAGTGTGTGTGCTCAGATGTCAGAAGTTTATAAATGTTTCTTCCTTTCTAACACTTGTTCTTGGAAACTGTTCCAAAGGGGTTCAGGCCAGCTCACCCAGGAAAAAGATGCATTAGGGTTTGGGGGAAACCTACCTAGGAGATATTGTGATAACCAATTCTAACAGCGTATCTACCGGGTATCCCCAGCTGGGGACCACAGAAGCCTCCCTAAAAGTGGCACTAAAGTGCCAACATATGCACATTGCTCTGCTCTTAGGAAAACTCCAAGAGTCCTGTAGATGCCCATTTCAGAATTCTTTAACTGAAAGTTCCTTGACTGACTCCTAAAGTCGTTGGCTCCTGACCCAGTTCCACATGGAAAGGCAAGCCCTTTAGAAAGTCCCCGCAGAATTTCTCATTTGATGTTCTTTCTTCAGCTGATTAACGGCCTTCGGGTTCCCAAAAAAGTAAACTCTGCCCCCCAATTACAATCCCTGGTTTCTTCTTTGTTTTAGTCAATTACTGCTGCAGAACGAAGCATCCCAACATTGAGTGGTTTAAAAAAACAACCATATTATTATCTCTCACAGTTCTGTGGGTTGCTGGAGTTCAGCTGGACAGTTGAACTTGGAGAATGGCTTGGTCATCATACTTTTCTTCAGTTATCATACTGAATAGCATGTGATGCATTAAAAATGGCCACAAATTCAGAGTTTATTTCCTTTCCACTTGAATCTGGATTGGCCCTGGGACCATTCACCAACGTAAGTGGCAGAGTGACCAGTGCCCAAATGAGAAATTCTGCGGGGGACTTTCTAAAGGGCTTGCCTTTCCATGTGGAACTGGGTCAGGAGCCAACGACTTTAGGAGTCAGTCAAGGAACTTTCAGTTAAAGAATTCTGAAATGGGCATCTACAGGACTCTTGGAGTTTTCCTAAGAGCAGAGCAGTAGGAAGGTCCAGCAGGGTGGCTGCTCCAGTTACTTTTGCTGTGTAACAAATAATCCTGTATTAGTCCGTTTTCACGTTGCTGATAAAGACATACCCAGACTGGGTAATTTATAAAGAAAAAGAGGTTTAATGGACTCACAATTCCATGTGGCTGGGGAGGCCCCACAATCATGGCAGGAGATGAAAAGCATATCTTACATGGCAGCGGGCAGGAGACAGAATCAGAGCCAAGTGAAGGAAATTTCCCCCGACAAAACCATCAGATCTCATGAGACTTATATCAGATCTCATGAGACTTACTCACTACCACGAAAACAGTATGGGGGAAACCACCCCCATGATTTAATTATCCCCCACTGGGTCCCCCCAATGCCCATGGGCATTATGGGAGCTACAATTCAAGATGAGATTTGGGGGAGGACACAGCCAAACCCTATCCAACCCCAACACTTAGCAGCTTAAAGTCGCTATTTATCTTTGATGATGATTTTGTGGCACAGGAACCTGGGAAGAGCCTGGCTGGGCACTGCTCACTCAGTGTTGTTCATGCGGTTGCGATGTTAGCTGGGCTGCAGTCTTCTGAAGGCCCAGCTTGGCTGCACATCCATGACGGTGCACTCCCAGGGCTGGTGGTTGGTGCTGGCTGCCACTGGAGCTCAGCTGGGACCATCAAAAAGAGTGCCAACATGTTGTGCTTTACTATAATTTGGTCTTGAGGTCTTACTCACCAGAATGGCTATAAACTCTACCCTGCCCCGACAGGACTCCAGGTGGTTGGCTGTGGATGTTTACAATGTGCCTGTCTTAGTCCATTCCTGATGCTATAACAAAATACCCTAGACGAGGTCATTTATAAGTAACAGAAACGTATTTCTCACACTTCTGGAGGCTGGGAAATCGCAAATTTGGTATCTGATAAAGGCTTGCTCTCTGCTTCCAAGATGGCCCCTTGTTGCTGCATCCTGTGGAGGGGACAAACACTGTGTCCTCCCCTGGCGGAAGGGGTAACAAAGGGATGAACTCTCTCCTTCAAGCCCTTTTACAAGAGCACAAACCCCATTCATGAAGGCACAGCCCTCGCGACCTAAGCACCTCCTAAAGGCCCCACTTCGAAACACTATTGCAACTAAGGATTAAGTTTCAACGTATATTTTTAGAGGGACACAAACACTCAAATCACAGCATTTCACCCTGCCCACCCCCACGCCAAAAATTTGTGTCCTTCACATACAAATACACTTATTCCAGCCCAGTAGCCCCAAAAGTCTTCATTTGTTCCAGCACCAACATGAAAGTCTAAAGCCCAGAGTCTCATCTAAATATCATCTAAATCAGAGATGGGTGAAAGTCAAGGTACGATTCATCCTGAGGCAAATTGCTCTCCAGCTGTGAACTTGTAAAATCAAACAAGTTACATGTTTCCAAAATACAGTGGTGAGACAGGCGTAGAACGTATATTCCCATTCCCAAAGGGAGAAGTAGGAAAGAAGAAAGGAGTAACAGATCTGCAGTAAGGCCAAAATCCAAAATGGCAAACATAAACTCTGAGGCTTGAGAGTAACCTTTTCTGACTCTATGTCCCACCTTCTGGACACACTGGGATGGGAGCTGGGCCTCCAAGGCTCCTAATAACCCCGCCCCCATGGCTTCACTGGGCACAGTCCAAGCAACAGCTCTCATGGGGTGGAGTCTCATGCCTGCCATTCTCCCACACTGGAATCACATGTTAGTGGCTCTGTAGTTCTGAGGTCTCAGGGCAGTCCCACCCCCACAGCTCCACTGGGCATTACTCTGGTGGGAGTTTTCTATGGTAGCCCCACCCCATGGCAGTTCTCTGCCTGGGCCCCAAGGCTCTAGGGTTAGGGTTAGGGTTAAAGAACTGGAGCTCAGGGCCAGGGCCCTGACATGCTATGCATCTCAAGTGAACTATTAATATTCTAACTAGGAATATGCACATGGAACTCCTTTCTAGTTCCTTGAGGTCTCCAGGACTGTCACAGCTTCCTGAGAATTGGGATTATTGTGGATTAGACTTTCTGAAAAGTTTCAAATTGATGATAGGATACTAATGATTTATGAATAAAATTATAACCAAGTATTTGTCATTTCTGTGCCACATTTATTATGATTGGTTGGTGATTCGTCAGTACCCCCATAGGCTGTGAGCCATAGATAGTTGTACAACTCAGGTTCTACGTCTAAATCATCTGAGTTTTTCCAGGACTGACACTATGCCTGGCATTCACTGCTGAGAAATAAACAAAAGCATGAAATATAAGAATGAATATCAGAATATTGTAAGAATTAAAAATAAGCTGATTAGGAAGATGTGTTTAGTACCTCCCACCTTAAAAGGTAATCAAATATACAAAAATATTAAAGTACTATCTAATTACCAAATTACTATTTTCCTTTCTTCAGTGCATTATTACTTTTTCTGAATTGTGTTTGTTGTCCTTCACAGTCGTATCAATCACTCTCTCTTTCTCAGACCAAAGTCTGTATCTGTTCTAACTTAACACTTAGTATTCCTCTTAACCTAATTGAAGATCGTTTATTTTAATTAGGCTAACTTTATCTTGTTTTAATTCTAATTTCCTTCTGGTCTCAAATTATCTCCTTGCTCCAATATTTTCCCTTGACAGAGAAGACACTACTATTTCTTGGAGGATTTTTCTCTTCAACAGCTTCCATTCTCAGAACATGAAGCCATGTTTTAAAAATTGACTTCCTGTTGGAAAATATATTCTCTGGGTGTGTCTTTTTTTACACTTATCTAGATAAGTTTGTGTGATCCAGATAAAAGTGTAAAAGAAGACACATCCAGAGGATATATTTTAAAATATAAATATCTAAAATATAAATTATATTTGTAATATTTTATTAAATTTTAAAATTTTAATAAATAATATTTTATTATAATTTTATATTTATTTATTTTAAAAATAAATTATATTTTTGATAATTTATATTTAGGTATAAATTATCAAAATTTTTTACCCAACGAGTTCACAAAATTTAAGCTATCTTAACAAATAATTTAATTTAATTTCAACACAATATGCTAAAACCCAGTGGATATTTTTTAATGTTTCCGTTCTTCTGCATATCCACATTACCTCAGAGATGTGGTAGATGATAGGACTAATGATGATAAGAAATAGGATGTATTAAGTGTTTCCGATAAGCTGAAGACTTTCAACGAATTGTCTCTAGTCTTGAAAACTGCTTTGCAAAGTAAATAATAGTCCCATTTCAAATACATGGAAACTAAAGCTCAGAGAGATTATGTCATTTGGCTAAAGCCACACAAGTGTTAATGTCTAAGCCTGGAGTAGAACTGGATCCACTGATTTCAAAGCCTATGCTCATCCCCAACTTCACCCCACAGCCTAAACTGACCATTTTCCTGGGGGGATGTTTCTTGATTTGCTTTTTGGGATGTTTGTTTGCTTTCTTTTAGAGACAGAGCCTTGCTGTGTCTCCCAGGTTAGTGTGCAGTGATGTCCTTATTTTTTTTGCAGAGACAGGGTCTCACTATGTTACCCAGGCTGGTCTTGAACTCCTGATCTCAAGCAATCTTCCTGCCTCAGCCTCCCAAAGCACCGGGATTACAGGCGTGAGCCACCATGCCTGACCAAAATTGACCATCTTTGAATTAGGATCCAGAACAAGGGTTAACAACTTTTTAAAATATTAGTCTTTAAATAATCTGATGCCTTTCCCTCTGAAGACCTCAGGAGGCAAGTGGGAGGAGAGGCATAATGATTTGGGGTGGGGACTATAGTCTCCCAAGCTATAGAAAGCAGCCATAGTGACAGCAATTGCTTCACTTATCAAAATCAACAATAAAACCTAACACATGTACTGTAGATTAGTGACTCTCGGTACAGTTTTTAATTGTATAACCCGGAAAAAAAAAAAAAGCAAAATTCCTTTTTAGAAATATGCATCCTAATACAAGCTCTTTTTGGGAAAGCAAATTCCTAATGGTGGCCCAGCCTTGGTAAGCATGCAGTGAAGATAGCAGCTTTGGCAAGTATTTAATGATACTTCTGGCTTTTAGAATCTGTATCCCCATATAGTTATTAAATGCACCAGCTGCTGGGCCAAGCATACCACATGCATTCGTTTCTTTAGTCCCTACATTGTTCTCACCCCCAGTTGGTGAAAGAGGAAAACTAGCACAGAGAGTCTAAGCAACTTACCTGAAGTCTTGCAGGCAGTTATCAGGGTGGTTGGGACTCAAATGCCTGTCTTTGACTCCAAAAACCTACATTTGTAACAATTATGCTAGATGGTGTCAAGAACCTGCCCTGTTTCTTGGAGGGCTAGATGCTCAGATGTAACTGTTGCAAAAATTATGTGGTTTTGCAAACCCAAATGAGAGCTTTTCAATCGCCCTTGAAGTTTCATGATGCTTTCTGAGGTCCAAGGGTCTGATGGAACTCAGTAGTGCTCATAGCCCATGATTTTACCCTTGGAATGACTACTGGGCAACAAGACAGGCCACCATTCAGGAGAAAGCAGGGCTCCTGCTGAGACATTCAAGCCTCAGGCTTCCTGGAAAGCCGCATTCTGAAGAGACAAGCTTCAGCTCCCAACCAGCAACACCTCACTGGAAACCATTTGCCCTTTGCCTAATGGCTTTTCTTGCCCAGCCATGTTCTCTTATTATTTCTATGCCAGAGTACATTCTCCTAATCCATTGCTGTCCATGCTCTGTTAAATAATAATCACTTTTCCTCCCCAGGGCCAGTTTCATTTCAGAGAAATGCCAGTTGATGCTTTAAAAATGTCAAGATTTCTACAAATCTCTTTTAGATCAGTGCTCTGATGAACCATCCATCTCACTGCCACAAAGCCCCTTAGTGCTGACATTTATGTCAGAAGTGTTATCCTTGGGCCTCAAACTCTAATTGGCTTCACTCTCAAGCGTGTCTGGGGCAGCTGTCTGTCTGCTCTGGCAGTGCAGCCCACCTTCCCACCTCCACACAGAAGGGAGGTGCAAGGCTGGGAGCTTTGTGACGGGGCACTCACCCCCATGGCAAGCTTTCTGGCACCAGCCCCATAAAGAGGGCACTTTCATGGGCAGCTTTCCTGAGGACACAGTGGCAGGTATTAACCTTTGGTTCCTGTGTTATTGTTGTCTTTTCCCAGGGATTGACTATCTCCACCCGGACCTGGCCTCCAACTATGTAAGTACAAGCCAACTTTGGTGGGGAAACAGATGCATCTTAAATGTCCTAGTACCCCTGGCTATTACGAACATGCACATGTGTGCTTGTCTATATACGTGCATGCAAGTACAGGAACATGCACACACACACACACACACACATGAGTACACCTACAGGAACATATGCATGCACACATGGAGGAACACACACACAGGAACATACACACACGCTTAAGTACAAAAGAAGATGCACGCGCACTCATAGGCACACATGCATGCACACACAGACAGCCACATAGGCAGCCACACTGGAACTGTCCATCCCGTTGGAGCCACAACTCAGGAGACAAGCAAATGGACAAGGCATGTGGCCTGGCAGCAGGCAAAGGCAGTGGCTTTGAGAGAAGAAAGAAACCTGACGTCTGAAAGAACAGAGTGCCAAGAAAGTAGGTACAGGGAGGGGGAAGAAGAAAGAGACTTGGCAAGGTTTAAATCAGCTCTACCTGATGATATTGAATTGAAGGGTGGAAATGAGCCATTTGGGTTCTTGTTGGATAAAACCGAAGGCAAAAAGCCAAAAGCTGCAGCGACTCACATTACAGCCCTAGCTTTATGAAAGTAAGAATGTTATCTTTTTTGATTATTTATGTCACTTATGACCACTCCACTGCCTTTCCCCCATAACATTGAGCATTACTCTCCCTTAGCAATAAGCAATGTTAGCAGAGAATCACCGAAAGCTCTGAGGGGCTGGAACCACACACTCTAATTTTTGACTCAGCAAGTCACACGCTCCTTTCCTGATGAAACCCACAAGCCCTTTAAACAGAATCGATCACTTATTTTAGCCCCGGAGAGTACAAGATTCAAGCATTGGTGTGTTCACTTAAAATTATCCAAACTATTTCTAAGCTATACTTCTGAGACCTCCAGATCTAGATGTTATCTTAGTCATTGAAGAGACTCATTTAGAGAACAAGGGTTTGCATAAGAGAAAGGATGGTTACCCAGCAAAAAGTGTTTGGAGGTCACTAGTCTGGGTCATTTGTCCTGGAAGGCGAGTGTATTTACATTGCACAAAGAAAGTGGGAATATTCCATGTATTTCGTGCACTAGGCAACAAGAAACAGGGCATTGAAGGGATCTTAAAATCTGGAAGAGAATAAATTGAGAGGAGCATCTTTTTTAATATTAGGAAAAACTATTAAATGAATCCTTGGCAGAGTCCAGCCAATGTGGCCCCAGAGAGAAATGACAGAAATTGAACCAAAGCTATATTCTCAGCAATGATAATAATCCATGTCTATGGAGAAGACCATTGTAAACTGCCCATGCCTAGCAGTCCTGTGTGTGGAGTCTAAGGAAACAGCCCTTCTCCCTGTCTCCCCATGGCGCCTTCCCTAATGAACACATGAGCGGAGCTGTCTGCTGGTCTTCTCGTACACTTCCTTAAAGGGACTGCCCTGGACACAGTCCTTGCTGCCTCCACCTGACTTTGACTGACTCCGCTAGTGCCTCCACCTTTCCCTGCCTCCTCCATAACCGCAGGGCCCTGGAGATGTGTCAGGCAGGGGATTGAGAAGCGCTGCATTGCATTTTCTCCAAGGCTCTGATGTATCTGGGGCCGTTCCTTACAGACAGCAAGTGTGGCAGAGATCATGACCTGCAGGATCAGTGGTCCTCCCTCCGAGGGCTATCCCCACTCCACCCTCTGCAGACAGAAGCATTGACATTCTCCACAGTTCCCTCCATCTCCAGGACCCAGTGCCTCGCAGGGCAGCCACGTGGAGTTCTGCTCACTTTCCCAAACCATCCTTGGAGAAACAATCATCTTGCCACTTGGAGGACTTCAAGGTGGGGTGGCACCCACTGGGCTGGAAAACTGAGGGCGCAAGGCCTGTCTCCTGTGCATAGCATAACCCCACAAAGGCCTAAGACATGAAGACTGACCTCTGCATCCTTCCCTTCTCCCTGCCTAGCCCAGGCAGTTCCTGTCAGGCTGCTCCCAACTCCAGCTGCCAGATTCGAAAAAGATAGTCATTCATATGGGGCAAGAGTCCTCTGGGGTTCCAGTGAGCTGCAGGTACAATGTTAGTGGATGATGTGATCCATCTGCCAAAACCTTCATCTGAAATTGGAACGCGAAGCCTCCGTATTGAACCGTGCCAGCTCCTCTGAGACCTGCAATACCAGAATATACCTGAAGAACTCTACGGGTTCTGTGAGTCTCAAGTTCTTTTTTCTTCTTTTCTTTCCTAAGAACATCATTTTTTCTGATTAAAAAAATGAATGCATGTTATTTGTCAAAAACTTTGAAAAAGCATAAAACAGATTCAAAACTAGCCGTAATACCACCATTCTTAATATTTTGACATATTTTGGGCCTTAAATTTCTATGTGTCTATTTTTAATGAAATTCAGCTCTTCTTGCACATTCTTCCCTTCTGCTTGATGTGCCATAAACAGTTTTATGTTATTCGAAATCTTTCAAAACATAATTTTAAGGGCTACATGGCATTAGCTTATGCTGTAATTTATTTAAACAAGCTCATCTCCAATTGTTGAACAATTAGGTTGTTTCCAATGGGTGTTTCACTGTAAGAGGGAGATGGGATGGCAGACGGTAACATGGCCAAGCCATACAATGCTAAGGACAGCTGAAAGAACTGGAAAAGCTTTTCCTGGAAAAAAGAAAGCAGGCACATTAGAGTATGTTTTCAAATATTTCAGATTCTCCTGGTAAAACAAGGCATTCCACTTGTTCAGTAATTTCTCCCAAGAAAATTCCCACCAATGGGTGGTAACCACAGAAGGAAGATTTTAATTCAGTCAAAGGAAGAACTGTCTAGTGATTAAGATTAGTAAATTATTGGGAGGCCAAGGTAGGTGGATCATGAGGTCAGGAGGTCGACACTATCCTAGCTAACATGGTGAAACCCCGTCTCTACTAAAAATACAAAAAATTAGCCGGGCGTGGTGGCAGGTGCCTGTAGTCCCAGCTACTCAGGAGGTTGAGGCAGGAGAATCACTTGAACCTGGGAGGCAGAGGTTGCAGTGAGCCAAGAGCGCGCCACTGCACTCCAGCCTGGGCGACAGAGGGAGACTCCATCTCAAAAAATAATAAATAAATAAATATTAATAAATTAATGAAAGTAACAAATTCTTCCTACCTGAAAATATTCAAGAGGATGATTGATGGCCACTGATAGGATGTTATTGAAGAGATGACAATGTCTATGCTGAACTTAAACTAGATGAGACCTAGGAATCGAACAGAAAATTTGATTTCTGTACAAAACTGCACATCTTGATAACTTGCGTTCAGAGCAAAGTCTGAGTCTTCAACTTGTATCAAACACTTGGAAGCTGACAATGAAATTATATATATTTACATATGGCTGTGAAAATGTTCTGCCTCTTTGGTATAGATGAGAAAACTGAACACCTAAATATCTCATGCTCGATTCCCCAGCAGAGGGCCCAAACTAACTGATTTTTAATAGCACAGTGTCTGTCTCTCACCCTGTGTAGAGTTCAGAGTGGCAACTTCGGAGCTACTAACCACATTCATCTTCTTTATTTTTAATTAAAAATTTTACACTATCATTAACACAATGAGGACAGCAAATAGAGTAGACCAGCCCAGGAGAGCAATAAAACTAGTAGACAGTGATAGGCTCGAAAATTGTTTGAGCAGAGAATTAACAGGCAGTTTCACACCTTGTTAAGTGACCTAATGGTTCTGAGGGATAAGCCAGCCTGGTGCCCTTTGACAGAGAGGTACTTGGCGATTTCTTTGCTTGGGTTTCCCTAGAAGCAGACTCTGAAGCAAGGGGGGTTTGAGTACAAGTAGGTTATTTGGAAGGGGATTCCAGGAAGGAGGGGTAGAGGAGAGGGAATGAATCCGGGAAGGAAAGGTAGCTCGTAAATGGGGCAGTTATCAAACAAGACAGCACGGTGGGCACTGAGGCTTAATCCCACTGGGGAACTCTGGGAGACAGCATAGAATATGTGAGCCAGAGTGATCCCCCTTGGGATGTGATGCCTCAAGAAGCTGGGGTATTTATGTGCCAACTTCATTAGTCATTGGTTGAGGGCTTGTCCCAAAAGAAGTTCCTACTTCCCCACAGCCTGGGGAAAAGCCCTGGGCAAAGGTGTGGGTACAGACAGCTGCAGCTCACCAGGGACATGAGGGTGTCAGGCTGAAGGGGGATGTAGCAACGTCTGCCCCAGAGATGCCTTGGAAATTCATTAAAGGTTAAAATAAATAGACATGTTCTATGTTGGAAAAACTCCTTGTGGTTACTGATTTCTTTTCAGTGAGAACTGAAAACTCTACCCGAGGCTCTTCAAAAAATTACTTTATAATCAAACCAGCCAAAATGTTTCTGAAAGCAGAATTATTTTCAAAGCTTGGTTATTCTGTATATTAAGAGAGGAAACAGCGTATGCTGGTAGTCCAGTTTCTTTCCATTAAACTAAGAATAAAATACTTGGAAAATTGCAAATCAATATATAAATGTAAGTTGTTAATGTTAATCTAATTCAACAAATCTACACTGAGCCTGTTGAGTGTTGGGAGCAAAGGATAATAACGGCCACTTGGAACACGCTATTGTTCTATGATTGAATTTCATCGGAGGGATCCAGTCCCACTGGTAAAAGTTCACTATTCCAAATAATTAAAATTTTTCTTTCTCTATCCCAATAGTCATGACACGAAATGAGTATTAGCCAAGAGACTATTTTAGACCAAGTTAAAATTACAGCCTCCTTTACCCATCTTCGCTATACAAGCTGGGTATTTTCTCTAAGTCAATACAACTGCTGTGGACTGAACCTGCTATGTGCAAGCCCCAGAGGAAGAGAGATAAATAAGACACAGGCACTCTCTAGAGAAGCCGGCAGGTCAGTAAAGATGCAGGCATGTGAGACATGACTGTCAGGTGAGGGGCAGGCAGACAGGGAAGTTGTGGTCTCTTTATTGTGAGCTCCCAATCCAGTGAGGATTGCAGGCTG